GATGAGGGAATGAGCAAGGCGAGAGTAGCTGGTTTTGGATCTGGTGGAGCTGGTGGTGGAGCTGGAGGTGGAGCGGCATCGAACAGAAGAAGCTAATTTATTTGTTTTTCTATTAACTTCAACCAGCCATTCATTTAGCCAGAAGCCTGTAGAAAACACATGAAACAAGAATTAAAGACAATTTTGAACAAATGTAGTGTGCTCTAGAATGGCAAGCAAAATGGGTTTAGTGATATGATTCAAGTCTTGACTGGATCTACAGAGCCTCCAGATGTCCGGCGTGGGTTAGTTGGATGTGGATGCAGAAGACTCCATGCTTGGAGCATGCTTGTTGGATACCTTGGCATTCCGTGGCATGTCCAAAGATGTTAATCTATTCGTCAGTACAGGGTGGCTGGTTCAATGTTGACTCTCTTGCGAAGCAAAACATAACCATTCTTGCTTGTTCAGCATAGCTCATTGTATGTCACCAGTTAGTTAGTTATGCACTCCCTGGTTAATTGAACCGACGGGCCTGGCCGGACCGCGCGATCTCGCACCCGGACTCGCCTCTCTCGCACCGCCTCCGGCTCGCGCGGTGCGATCCGCGAGGTGAAATCCAAGTTCGTGGGGCTGCGCTAAAAGGCTCCGACGTCCGAACCCGCGGCGTAGTCACCCTTAAGACGTGGCGTTCGCCTTCGACCGTCCGGTCGGACGTTACCGTGCGGTGCGTTGGGGGGACGCGTGGGTGCGGGTGCGGTGACCGTTTGCAGGATGTAGGAGCAATTTGGGAAGTCAGGTGGTTCGGGATGCCTATAGGGTAACAAGACAGAACTATGAGAATTGAGAGCGAAAACAAGGGTAGGTGCTGGATGGATGAAAGAAACAGGCCAGACACAGGTCCTCGTGCAGAACTTGGGAATTGTGATAAGTGTTTTCAATGAGTTTTGACCACAAAACTATTTTCACTGAGAGGATCGAAAAAGGAAGGCCCCCTTGTTTCTCGGTTTTCTCTTCGATTCCAAGGATCAATGGGGGGCAAACCACTGGTTTCCAGTGCGAAAAGACCAATTGATTCTTTTTTGGAACGAAGCTACACTTAGATGCCCAGATAGGTTTAGATCCATTCTCCAACAAGAGGACCAAGGAACTATAGTGCTTCTGAGAAGCAGTAGCTCAGGAAAATGCTTCTTTGACATTGAGTCAGTCGAGAGGAGGCAAGATGCTGGATTTGTCTCACTTCCCATCTTAAACCCTGAAACAATCACCCACAATCCTGCAACGGATGATCAAGATGAACATCACGTGTGTCTCAGGCGCACCCCCACACCTTTGGCCGAACCAAAGCGGCTGTGAAGCATGCAGCCGGAGTGAGTTCTTCTCGCGAGTCATAAGACGTGACTCGTTGTCGATACGAGGGATGGTCCAAATAGAATATTCAGAAATGATCGCTGGGGAAACAAGAGACATTGCTTTCGGGCCCCGCAATAGTGCAAATTCCCAATGGTCTTGGTGGTGACATTTGGCTCGGCTTAAACTTCACTGGAACATGCCGGCCAGTCTCAAAGCATGTTGCCTCTTTAGACTTCCCGTGGACCATGTGTTCACCACTCGCCATTGACAAAGAAACCACAATGTGTGTTCTTAATGAACTGGAGATAGGCAGGATATGGCAGGATCGTGTCTTAATCTCATCATAAACATGTCAAGAAATATAATACACTTAAAACTTAAAACCACCATTAAGAGATCAAAGCACCATTGACAAAGACTGAATAAAAAAGCACATCTACACCCCCTGAAATCATCATATGTTACGTGGTTGGAAAAACGGCCCCCCAAAGGATAACCATGAGTTTTCCGGTCTGACCAAACAGCTTGGTGCCATCGTCCTCCAGAGTCCTCGACACCGACTTGTTCGTCGCGTGGGAAGAACGACTTGGACCATCGACGATCCTCGACTTCGTGTTGATATCGCGCCCAAGCGGCCTAGGGTCGGTCCCGGAAAAGTCCTGGACAAATCCTAAGACTTGCGGTGAAGAGCTTTCTAATCATGAGTCATGAGTATTTGAAGTCTCAAGTCAAGGGGATTCACAACTAGCTGCTTGGCTTAAACCTAGTAAAATATAAGAAGCACAATCCGATCCTTTCAAAGGATTTGGGCCAGTGAACCTCTCGAGATAAGGGTACTGATTCTGGGACCTCAGACTGGAAGGGTCTAGGATTGGGGCTCGATGAAGGACCCAAATCGAGTTCTGATGGACGTTTCGGCAGTCGATGGATGTTTCCAGACACTTGGGGGACTGAAGGCGTGACTCCGAAGCATGCTCTTCTCGTAGGGCAGCGAAAAAAGAATGACAAAAGCATCCCAGCGAGGGAAGGGCCAGAAAGAGAGAGAGGGGCAAGAGGGCGTGAGAGAGAGAGAGAGAGAGCATGAGGGTGTGAGGCTCTTTAGCCTTTGGGGGATCTCTCATTCTCAGACACTTCTTGGTTTTAGAGTGCTCGAATGCAACATGGCACATCCACCTGAGCACTTGTTGTTTGCCATGTTGGTTTTGGAGGAGAGTAGCATAGAGTAGCTCTTATATGCTTGGTACCAGTTTTCAGTTTACTGGCATCAAGTGGCAGACCACTTTTCACGTTCATTCTTCTCGAGTTGGATGCGCTGGCCTTCTGAGTTGGTGCGCCGAAGATCCGAGTCGATCCAGACACACGACACACGCGGCACACGCTGTCACGCGCAAACAAAGAAATGCCGAGGAAGCAACAGCTATCACAGAGTCCATGGAGTTGGCTGAAAACCGATGTTGCGCAGAGGATAATGCTATAGAGCTGCATACAACTTGAGAGCATTCACCTGTTCAGATCTGGGTCTTTTCTGGGTTCCATGATGCATGATATAACTCATGCACGGATCCAGAGATGGATGATGCAGCACCCACAGCGCCAGTTCATCCTGAAAGCACGTGAGAGGATGCAAATCAGAAGGAACATACTATAGAAAATCAGGAGGACCTGGATGAATGGAGCAGCTGTGCATTTGATTTGGGCCCTATGGCACCTGTGAGGACCCTGAGTGGGTGAATCTGAATGACATCCAGATACATATGTCGTGTCGAATACTGAGTAAGAAACTCCAAGTCTTGGTTCTACCTTTAAAGCCATGGAGTAATGTGGAGTACCTGTTCTGCATGGGGTCCATGTGCCCTTTCCCTGTGCACTGTTGAGGCGCTAGGACTCCTAGGACTCTAGGTACAGTTGGCCCACACGTTGAGTGCATGTCAGTGCATGCAACTATCTATTTTGTGTGTATGGAAAGGAGCAGCGATTCCGTTTTTTGTTGCATACTGACCATGCACTTCCAATCTCCTGCTCACGTCCCATTACCCAGAATAATGCCTACATCATTCAACACAGACGTCTTCAACGCATTTGAAGACGTTTTTCTATCGGACAAACCGCATCCAACCGAACGCGAACGTCCCCACGCTGGTTGAAGCGAAGGACTGGGCCCTTTCGACGGCCTGAGCTTCGTCTCCTGTGTGGAGCATTGGGGCTCACCGCGACAGCCTGGGTCCGTTGGGGGGGCTCAGTTCCAAAACCACATACGATGCTAGACTCGGTTCGAGTCTTCAAACACTATGTAATGTTTAATGATGCTCGTATTGCTTTCAAATCATTTAGCATCGTACGTAATACGGCCGAGGCGTGTCGGAATACCTAGATGCCACAGGCCTCAACAAAATCTGGCGATCGTTAAAAAAAGACGACAACAACAACAACAAACAACAACAACAAACAACAACAACAAACAACAACAAACAACAACAACAACAAACAACAACAACAACAACAACAACAAACAAACAAACAAACAAACAAACAAACAAACAAACAAACAAAC